CCTTTCCACCTTATGTGCCAACTCCTCTCACCTGCTCCAAATTTCATAAGCTTCCTGGCTCGGAATTTCCTCAAACCGGCCACACGATGGCGCCCCTACCCGAGGTTGCCGAGTAGAACGGACTCCTTGGAGTCCACAGGCCTTTTCCACCGACAGAACTGGCTCTTATCCAGGCTAGGCTTGGATCCCTCACGACTGATCCTGCAACTTTCATCAAACAATTTCAGCTTTTGACTCAGTCTTATCAATTAACTTACCATGATCTCTTTGTCATCCTTACCAATGCTTTAACCCTTGAGGAGGGCAAAAGGATGCTGGACCAGGCCCGTGCCCACGCAGATTAAGAATATTTGACAAATAATCACCACAAAGTAGGTGCTGCCACCATTCCAGAGTGAGACCTAGATTGGGATTACAACTCCGAGGTGGGTATCGATGCCCGGGACAGGTACACTAATTGTTTACTCCATGGGCTACACAGAGCCACCATGAAATCCGTAAACTATGACAAACTTAATGAAATCATACAGGACAAAAACGAAAACCCCTCTTCCTTTTTACAAAGGCTAGCCAATGGCCTTTGTCAATATACCAATCTTGATCCTGAGTCTGTGGATGGCCAGCGGCTGGTCATGATGCACTTTTTTCTCTCAAAGCTATTGCAACATTGGTCTTAAAAAAAAAAAAAAACTTGAGAAAGGACCCCTAACTCCTCCTTCCAAGGTTCTGATCACAGCACTTAAGGCTTATCATGGCCGTGATGACATCAAAGCAAAAAAGTATCAATTACTGGCACAGGCCATCAACCCTACCCATGCCACAATGGCCTCATGACAAGGGACCCTTAAATAAGGGACCCTCTCACCCACCAGGACCTTGCTTCCAATGTGATCAGGAAGGTCACTGGGCCAAAAAATGCTCAAACCCCAAGCCTCCCACAAAGCCCTGCCCTCAGTGCAACACTGGGGTTTTGACTGCCCCCTGACACCCATCTGCCATTGGGCCACCAGCCCCTCCGTTCCCCCAAATGACCTCATTGGTCTTGCAACAGCAGAGAATCTTTGAAGGGGCCCTGGCCTAGCTGGCCCAACACGGATTACCACTCAGGAGCCCAGGGTGACTTTCATCGCGGAAGGTAGGATGATCAACACTTTCTACTCAACACTGGTGCTAGTTTTTCTGCACTGCAAGAATATGGGGTCCCACCTCCCTGTCTCAGACCTCTATTGTTGGAGTAGAAGGTCAAAAACAACGCCCTCAAAAGACTCCTCTCCTGTCATGTACAATTGGTGACTTCTCATTTCTTCACTCCTTCTTAGACCTCCCTTCCTGCTCCGTTCCCCTATTGGGTCAGGACATCTGTCCAAAATTGGAACCTATATCCATTTCATGACCCAAGACCCCTCCAGCACTCTGACATCCTCCCTTTGCCTTTTGTTGTCTCAGGCTATCAAACCCCAGACTCCATCATCCAAATGGCCTATTGACCCTGCCCTAGTAAATCCTCAGGTGTGGGACAGTCATTCCCCCTCAGTGGCCAAATGCCCTCCAGTTAAGATTTTCCTTAAAGATCCTATAAAACTTCCAACTCATGCTCAATAGCCCTCCCTCATTCCAGCTTAAGACAGATTGGATCCAATCATCAAAAATCTATTATAAAAGGGTTTCCTGAGGCCTACCATTTCCCCACATAATACCCCCATCTTAGTGGTATCTATCTTTGGGATTGGATTGGCCTCAGCAGCCCCTTCCAACTGTAACTTTACTTCTAGGTGTTTGCTCATATTGGCCTATTACCTGATAATCTTATTCATTGCCATTATTATTTGCTGGAGCCAATGGTTCCTCTCCTGCTTCTGTTTTCTCTCCTAAACCTTACCCAAGCCAATGGACTTTTGTCGTGCACCTTGACTCACTCCCAGCCTAACTCAGTCCTCCTTCAGACCCAGACAGGATCCCCAGACATTACTTTCCAGGTTACTTTATGTCAATTCTTTGACCAAACCCCATCAGATTTCTGCAGCACTTCAGACTGATTTCTGCCATCCTTTCCGTTTTTACCTATGTCCCACCCTGGTCCCACACACTGCCATTCACGCGGCCAGTACACTGTGCCTCCTGGGGCTGTGAGTCCTTGGCCCCATGGAAGCCAGCACAGTCAGATCAACATATTTGTCTCTCCTCTACATCGTTAGAGGATCCTCAGCCCTTTAATTTTAACATCACAAAGATCCCACTGATCCATCGTGGCAGCCTGGAAGGAAGTGGGGTCTTGGGCTCTATGTAACTGTGCAGTTCACCTTCACTTGTAGGCCTTGGGTACCCAGGACCACTCTACCTCCACCTGTTATCCAGGTCATACATAATATATCATCAGAGCTACACCACTTAGACCAACCCCTTGCCCAACTACAAGTCAACCTGGATTGGTCAGAGAAAAAATTGTCACTCTGGGTTTTTGAATCTCTCCAGAGGACCTTCTCTTGGTTATCTAACACCCCCTACTGCGATAAGGGCTGCTGGATAGGACTCAACAGCCATGGACTACTATCTATCACCCCAAAGGCTTGGCCCCTTCCCTGGAATCATTCGCTCCGCTTGACAATGAGCCCAATACAAATTGTAAGCCAAAATTTTCGTTTGGTCACCCAGGCCCCAGTATGTCTCAATCTTACAGGAGACATCAGCATACCAGTGATAACAATATCCAATTGTGCCAACATCACCCATTTATCCTTAAACAGTTCCCTCTCCAACATAACCATAGTATGTGGAACAACTGTCTGGTCGGGAATTAATACCTCTTGGAATGCTCTCTGTACTCCATTCCCCTTGGCCCCCAATTTACATATAATACCAGGAAATGAAGGAGTCCTTGTTCTGTCTAGGATGGCCTGAGCCCAACAAGAGAGCATTACAGGTGGCCATTATGCCTCTCATAACAGCACTGGGCAAAGCGGTAGGTGTAGCCACAGGAACCGCATGTTTGTCCCACTCCATCATACAAGGGAAACACCTGACAGAACAACATGAAGAAGACATTACCCAACTTCCTAAGGCGATTCTTGCACTCCAACAACAGGTGATCCTACAGAACAGGTGAGGCCTTGACCTCTTATGTGCAGAAAAAGGAGGACTTTGGTTAGTTCTTCAGGAAAACTCTTTTCATTAACCAATCAGGAATAGTAACCGATCAAATCTGCCAACTTCAGGAAAGCCTGGAAGAGCAATGTATGAAACATGACTCAGGAACTAATGTGGGACTCACTAGCTGACTCAACAATCCTCTACTAACCTCTTACTTCCCTTTACGACTCCTCTATTGTTCATCCTTACTTTGTTAGCAGTTGTCCCCTGTGTTCTCCGTTTTATTCAATCCCAGGTAGCTGCCTCTCTGCTCAAGTCTCCTGACAGTTGCTCATCAGTTGATACTTCAAGCTGAAGACCTGAACAAGACCACTGTGTTCACCAACCACCAGATCAAACATCGCTCAGATCCTCAACCTGGATTAAACACTTCCTGAACGATCTTTGGATTAATATTCTCTGGTTTGCTCCCCACCCTTGTCCTGTTACCCACATAGCCACCTGGGTCACTAACACATGGCTCCAAGGAACTTTAACAGATTTCAGCCCAACTAAAATCATAACTTTCACCTTTTTTACTCATTTTATTAACCCTCCAACCTAATCCATAGTCCCATACATCTCAGGATACTCCTTTAGACTAAAGGATGCCCTCAGGACGCCCATTCTGTGCCAAAACACAGGGTCCAAAATTTTCCAAGCTTCCCACCCAAAATTACTCCCATATGATTGGGCTTTAATAGCTTGCCTTACATATCCTCAACACTGTATCTACTGCACACAGGAGATTGTCTCTGTTCTAAGGGGGCCAGCACAAAGAGAACACACTAAGGCCCTACTCCCATGATACTGCACTGTTCATCGGGAAAACTGGGAATTCCTCCAACCCCTCCCAACGCTGTCAAATATCCACATGAGTTTCATTAAAAACCAATTGGCCCATACAGGGACCTGGCATCTCTTGGTTACCCCCTGGCTCAGGCATTCCTCTCCTGGTCCACCTGTTCTGCCATGAACCTGCCTTCTCAAAAGGGTGTACTCTAGAAGATCCCCTTCAGTCAGAATTTGGCCTTTATTATGTTCCCATCTTCTTTGTACTGGTCTTTCTAGACAGTATAGAAGGTCGACCACTTCCTCAGGTCATCACCGAAGTCCTCTGAGACGGGCTACACAGGGCTCGAGACGATCTGATAGGGCCTGGGTATGACAACATTGGGCGGCCATATGTGGGCCTCATACAAATTATCTTCCACCCTTTTCCCATCCCCGACTAACCAATTTGTGTGCTTGGACTCTTCGCAGGGAGCCCTACCAACAATTCCAGTGAGAATGCTACTGCTGTCAACAATTAAACATTCATAAAGGACAACACAGCCGGCCGTGCCTCACACCTGCCCCTAGACAGTCTTGTCGCCCCCGTGTCAGCAGAAGTAGTTACACAAGACGGACTCACCGCCCCTGGCGTGTAACATGTGCCAGCTGCTGTCTCCATCTAAACCAAAAAAGGGGGAATGTTAGGGACCTGACGCCACCATCATGGTTTTGTATTTTCCCAGTTCTTTATGTTCTTAAAATGATCTCATAGTCTTAAATTTCCTTCTCCCAAGGCCGCAATAGCTCAGAGAAGTGAAGTTTAAGGCTGAGTCCATAAAAGGCAACCTGGCCTGCGATAGGTTAAAATAGCCCACCTGCTCACAGACAGGCAACAGCCCAGCCCAAAACCAGTAAAAGGACCATCCTTTCTTTGTTTTCTCTCCCTCCCTCTCTCTGATCTGCTCTCCTGAATAAAGTCTCCTGAACAAAGTCTCCTGTCGGACCTTTGGTCCCCTTGGTGTGTGGCCTTTTTGTTGAGCGTTGCTATTCCTCTTCATCAATGATCATCTTTAACCTTGGCTCAGAAAACATGAAACAATCTCCTATTCTTTCATATTAGAATATGGATGAGAATTTTTAAACAAGCAATAATAAGAGTCCAATGAGCTTGAAAGTTTATGCTCTAACACACTTTATGGTTTCCTATTCATTGCCAAATTTACCTTTCTGCATATGTATATATGCAATACACACACTTAAAATATTTGGGGTGAGGATATTTTCAAGGCTCTTTAAAAAATTGGGTATATTCAATTTTTTCATTATGTTTATTGGTACATTTAAAGCAAACAATACAGTGATTATTCAATTTTTAATTTAATAATTAGGTTCCACACTAACTCATTAAATTGCCCTGAACTTTGTAATTAGAAACTGTCTGCCAGATTAAGGGCACAGCATATTGACAGATATTTTAGATATTTAAAACTGCCTATCTAAACTTAGCCCAAACTTGACCTCAAATTTGCTACTAGTTAGATAAAAGCCATCTGAAATATAATTTGTGTTCCTTCATATAGGTACAAAAATCATCTTTTTACTTATATATAAAACAACAAATTTGTACTTTCTTTGTTATTGTACAAAGCATAATGTGGTAGAGTGCTCATTTAATTTTAATTACTAGCCTGCTACAAATATTCCTACTTGTACTCTGAGCAACACTGACGATAAACAGTGTAGTAACCATTGTTATTCTAATTTTTCATCCTGAAATTCTGCTTTGTTTTCATAGAATAAAAGTTTTTTATATTTTCTTTATTGATATCTACTTGTATTACATTTAGACAAAACACTTTTAAAAAACAAAAAGGTCTTGGCATTTTTCTTTTTAAAGCATCACAACAGTCTATGAATATGATTTCTTCAGCCTGAATGTCACAATATACATTCTTAACAACTAAAAGTAACTGACTATCTAGTATAAGCTAGCATTTATAGTTTTCTAAATGGTGTTTAACACAATAAAAATACAATTTAACCTTGTACCTACTTTATTCTGGATCCCAAATATAAAACACATTCTCTTCTAATGTAACCTTCACCACACTACATGTTGCAAGATAATCTTTCCTTTCACCAAAGCAGTGAGCAAAAGTTAAAGCATTTCAAACAAGAAAGTCAGCTGTTAATGGAAATCAAGTGTCTTAGAAAGGGTTTTAAATGATGCCTTCTTTCCTAAAAGCAAAGCCAGAGCTCTGAGTGGAAGAGGTTACAGAAAAAGTTAACATAGAAGTCCTGAGACCACTATCCTTTATAATCTCTGTTCCTCACTCAGACTGCAGATGCCCATACCACATTTTTCTAATAAAACTATGTACTTTAGCATAATGGTAACCCTCTGTGTGTCTCAGTAGCTGTGCTGAGGGAATACAGGAAGCGATCTTTGTGTTCACCTACTTGGTACAATGAACGGCAAGGCGCATGCACATGTGTCAAAGTGTGAAGAGTCAAGTGTTACTGACATTATGCACCATGTTACATTTTTGTGTATTTGTAATTTATTTTTCCTGGTACTTAGGGATCAAACTTAGGGCCTTGCGCTTGCAAGGCAGGTGCAGTGCCATTGAGCTAAATCCCCAGCCACTATACTTTTTTATTAAATGTTTTCTTTTGACTTGTAGAACTAGCCCAGTACAATTAGTACAATATAGCATGAAAATCCTCTTTTACACCTTTGGGATGAGGTTGAAAGTGAGTCATTAGGTAATTTGGCTACCAATGATGACATGGATCATTTAAGCCAAAGAAGTCAGCACGAGATCACAGATAAAGATGTACAGAATGAAGACTTTGTTTCAGATGAGGAAGCAAACAGTAATGTAAATAAATATTTAACTAGCCAAAGTGCTATAAAATGGTCATGTCTACCTGAACATTCCAATGTTAGAACTAGATCAGAAAATGCAATCACGTTCTTTCCAGGGGTGAATCCTATTGCATGCAATACCAACAGTGATTCAATGCTGGAAATTTTTTGTAAGGACATGCTACAAGATGTTGGAAATACACTAATAATGAAATACAAGTAAAGCATTCTATATGCCACCGATTGTAATCCTCAAAAACATTTATCGTGATATTCACACTATCCGAACTAAAAGCCTTCATAGCAGGACTTTATCATTCTAATTGTCAGAATGATTGTGATAATGACAGATGATTGAGGCAAGACTATTTCTGTGGTAGAGTTTTATTTGTAAATCTCATTGTATTTTATATAGGAATTTCTGTTTAGATTTAGTAAGCAAACAGTTAATGTAGAAAATGTTATTTATGCTAAGCATTTGTTACATAATTTATATTTTATTGATGTTTCATTTTTCTGCTAAGTGCACACTGTATAATAGAAAGCTCCTGACAAAAGAGGAAGGCAAGAGAGGTGACAAGTATGGCCTACTAAACAGGGAAGGAGAGCTAAGCACACGTGCTGTCAGTGTTAGCTAGACTTGTATATGGAACATGTTTTGTCATGTGTGAGGACTGCCTTAAGTGTGATAATTGGAGTAAAGATTATTTCTGCAGCAGAGGTTTGTATTTTCATTGTAGTTCACATTGGAATTTATTCCTGCTGTTATGTTTTAGATCTTGTAAGCAGGTAGTTGATGTTTATTCTAAACACTCATATATTAAAATTTAATATTTTATCTTGATATTTTATTTTCCTGTTACACATTATAAAAACTCAAAATTAAAATACTTTATCCATACAAATGCTTCTAAAAAATAAATGTAGGTGCTACATACCTGCCCTAATGCACCTTTCAAAAAATTTGCTGTGATGCTCTGAGTGCATCACCAACTCTTGATTCTCATCTGGTGCCCCATTATGGTACAAAGCTCCCCACACAGATAAAAATTTCCCTGAATAATAATAATGGTGGCTCACTGTGCCTCCAATTTACAAGTAATGTGGTTTAGGTCGAGCACACGCTTTCTTTCCTTTTGGTAATACAGATATTGGGGACATTCTATGGAAAGGGCCCCGGTGACAACCTGATCAGCCTCTGGTAAAATCCTGGCAGGGTCTTCAGTGTGCTTCCCCGTGACAGTACTTCCTACTTGTATCACAAGTTTGATTGCTGGTCCTTTGTGACTTGACTAAGAGAGGACTCTTGGAGATGGTGACTGGTGTTCTTCAGTTCATGTCCCAAATAAATACCTTTTCCCTTCACTGATTTTACTTCGTGTGTATGTGTGTGTGTGTGTGTGTGTGTGTGTATGCATGTGTTTGTTTTGCTGGTGTAATTAATCACGAATACTGCTACAGGCTGAGTTCTCAGATCCTGGAGTAGTTTAGAGGATCCCCAAAACAAAGAGGAAGGTAATTTTTTTCCCCACTGAGGATGTGTCAATAAGCTATCATATAATGATCCTGTTAATCTGGATACTGATCCTTTGAAACCACCATCAATACGGCTAGGAAAGAATTAGCTCCCACCAAAGCTTTCTACCAAGTCTGTCCAGAAAGTCTAGAATGAAGTGGGATAGGAGGTGGACTACTGAAGGTAGTGTTAGTAAGTATTATTATTACTTAGTTATCTAGAAGTAATATTAAAAAAGAAATAAAATGTTACATATGTGCACTGATAAAATGAGATCACAGAACTTCTTGAACATGTAAACCTGATCTTATTTGACAAATATCCCTGCAACATACGAGAGGATTATGGTATTGTGGCTAGGAAATGATATGGATTCTCGGGTGAACTGAGTTCCACTTCAAACTAGCTGGGTAACCAGACAAGTTGTCACTCAATGTCTCTGAATCCTTATTTAATTGTGAGATTTATCAATAATAGTTCCAAGAAATTTCTTCCAAGAAATAAATTAATGAATGCAGGTATACATGAAACTGCCACTTGTAAGCTCTTAAAAGTAGTTGTCTTTCTGTAAGGTTATCATTACCAATTTATTATCTTGGGCAATTCAATCTATTATTTTAAAGACTATTCTTCTGGGAGCAGTTTTGTGTTCACAGCAAAACTGAGAGCTGTCCCTTATCCTTACCACACCCACATGTTCAGTCTCAGCATCCTTCACCAGAGTGAGAGTTGTCACCACTGATGAAACCGAGTTGACACGTTACACTATGGTTCACTCTGGATATTGCACATCTTGTGGGTTTGGACAAATGTATAATATCATCAATCAAGTGTTATAATAACATCACACAATCTATTTTCATTGCTCCAAAAACTCCTTTTTATAATATTTTTTGTGCTAGGATTAAATCAGCACTCCAGAGGTTGAGGCAGCAGGATCACCATGAGGTGAAGGACAGCCTGGGCTACATAGTAAGTTTAAGGCCAGAATGAACTACATAGGAAGACCCTGTTCCAAAAAACCCAAAACAATCAATCAAGCAACCAAATGATAGATCGTTTTTAAACACCAGTTTTCAAACATGTGTTATTTTCACTCCTAGGCTCTTAAAAGTAGAGAAAGTGCATATAGCTTTCTGGGAAAGTTTCTACAACCATGAAACAATCTTATGAGCATCGAATATGTTTTAGCCTAGTTGGAAACCAAAATATTAGAGTAGGTGTTGGTAGGAAATGGGTCGATGTTCTGAGGCTAAATACATTTGAGATACTAAGGTAAATTCTATTTTTGGCA